CAAGCTCCGCAGCCACCGCCGCGACCAGAAGTGGCACGACAAGCAGTACAAGAAGGCCCACCTGGGCACGGCGCTGAAGGCCAACCCCTTCGGGGGCGCCTCCCACGCCAAGGGCATCGTCCTGGAGAAAGTGTGGGTAGAGCTGGGCGCCTGCCCGCGTCCCCCCTGCTGCCTGTCTGCCAGCATGACCAGCGTGGTGTGTTTTTCCGGGTGGCCGTGCTGAAAGGCGTTTTCTTCCTCATACACGTGCCACTCGAAAAGCTCTGCTTACGTGGAAGCAAAGGGATGAAAATACCGTGTAACTCAGCTGAGGATTTGGGGGCGGGGGTGGGTTTTGTGTGTCAAAGATCCCATCTGCTTGTGCTCCGGCCTTTCTTTGTTTTTTTTTTCCCCCTTTCATAATTTATAAGCTTCCCTGGGACACCGCCAGAACTCCAAGGTGTTTCTCTTCTCCCCACCCCCTCCGCATTTTTAGTTCCTGCATTAGTATGTGTCGCTAGGGGATTAATTTTCAGTTTTTACTAAACTTAAAAACTGGGCTTTTATATATCGAGTACCTCTAAATGAATAACTAATACTAATTACAGATACAACTTGCCCTTAGTACAGAGTAATACAGTAATTTGTGGTGGTGTCATGAATATCTGCTAGTTCATCAGACTGGTTTTTGCTAATGTGTTTCCCATGTGCTTCCATTTTAGTGGAGTAGAAGCTAAACAGCCCAACTCTGCCATCAGGAAATGTGTTAGAGTCCAGCTGATTAAGAACGGCAAAAAAATAACAGCTTTTGTTCCCAATGATGGCTGCCTGAACTTCATTGAGGTAACTTCCAAGAAGCGATCTATAAAAAGTTCTGTATCAAAGGAAATACAGAATTGAAGGATCCAGGGGATGGTTAGACGGGTTTGTGGTGTTCTGCACCACGTGCATCTGAAAGCTGCAGCAGCAGATGAAAAATGCGAGAGGTCTCTGTACTTTCCCCGCTCTTAGCAGAGCCAGTTCTCAGCTGTGCTCCTGCAAGCGAGGTGATGCTGTCTAGGTTTCCTTTTTCCAAGACGCTGAAGGGGTAGCAGCCCTTCATTATTAAGTCTGTCTGTAGTCGCCTTCAGTGTTTCTACCCTTTTCTTCAGATTTGAGCCACCGCCTAGGCTTTCTAATGTTACCCAGTTCAGAAGTGTGCACAGGTTTAATGTTTATTGCTTGGTAACTACCTGGTCTTTCGTTGCAGGAAAACGATGAAGTCCTGGTTGCTGGTTTCGGCCGGAAGGGTCACGCTGTTGGTGACATTCCTGGAGTTCGCTTCAAGGTTGTCAAAGTAGCCAATGTTTCTCTGTTGGCCTTGTACAAGGGCAAGAAGGAGAGACCAAGATCATAAATTTAGATCAGTTTGCCAAGGTCAATAAAATTTTTGATTGAAAAAACTTCTACGCTTCTTATTTAAGGCTTATGATTTTTTTTAATGTGTATCTGCAGGTGACGTACCTCAGAGACATGGGGGCGTGCTGTCTTCTTTCGTGTTGGGAGCTGGCTTTTCCTTCTCTAGGAAACGCTTTGCTGCTGAATGACAAGAAGAGAGCCAGGGCATCTT